TCAGCCTCTGCCTCTCTGCTCTCTGGTGCTGACTCTTCTCTCTCTCCCTCTCCTATGGTCTCTTGGATCTGGTCTTTCTCTCTCTCTCTCCTCTCCCGCTCTCAGATGGTCTCTTGTATCTGAAGCTAGGCTCTCTCCCTCTCCTATGGTCTCTAGTATCTGGCCTCTCATCTCTCTCTCTCTCTCTCTCTCTCTCTCTCTCCCTCTCTCCTCTAGTCTCTTGTATTCTTAGATGGTTTCTTCTGCTTGCTCCTCAGCTCCTCAGCTCTCCTCCTCTCTGATGGTCTCTTGTATCTGGTGCTGGCCCCTCTCCTCTCCACCTCAGCCTCTGTGATAACCCCTGGATCCTGCTCCCGGCCCGTGGTGCACTTCCCGGGTCATTGGCAGAGCGTTGGGTCTTCAGCAGCTGGTGTCAGGGCTGTGCTGAGGCAGAGCAGGCCTCAGTCTCACGCTACATTCCGGGATCCACACTCGCTCCATACATCACGGCCGTAAAACCAGGAGCATCACACGCAATATGTGTAAACCGAGCCCCGAGAGGAGAGGAGAGGGGGGGGATCAGGGGGGAGAGAGGAGGGGGAGAGGAGGGGAGGCTACACACACAGGCACAGCAGAACATTCCAGTGGTCTGACTTTAAAGCTGGGGTACGTAAGTTACAAACCAATTTAACTTATTAAACTCATGTTCCTAGCTTGGTGCTGGGTCTACAGCCTCAGTCCTGGGTCTACAGCCTCAGTCCTGGATCTACAGTCTCAGTCCTGGGTCTACAGCCTCAGTCCTGGATCTACAGTCTCAGTCCTGGATCTACAGCCTCAGTCCTGGATCTACAGCCTCAGTCCTGGATCTACAGCCTCAGTCCTGGATCTACAGCCTCAGTCCTGGATCTACAGCCTCAGTCCTGGATCTACAGCCTCAGTCCTGGATCTACAGCCTCAGTCCTGGGTCTACAGCCTCAGTCCTGGGTCTACAGCCTCAGTCCTGGATCTACAGCCTCAGTCCTGGATCTACAGCCTCAGTCCTGGATCTACAGCCTCAGTCCTGGATCTACAGCCTCAGTCCTGGGTCTACAGCCTCAGTCCTGGATCTACAGCCTCAGTCCTGGATCTTGTCAGCCTGCTGTTGGCAAATCCACAACTTTGTAAAGTCCTCCAAGACGACTGCTGTTGGGATTTAAAGCAACACACAAATAAAATGGAATGATGAAACATGAGTTATGTGTCACGTGTGTTTCCATCTGCTGCACAGACTCAGGGCGTGTGTGAATACTGTACATGGTTTTGTGATTGAACTGAATCAATAACAGAAAATATGACAGGATCTGGTCTGAATCACTGTGAACCTGAACATAAGGAACTTTTTTACCACAGGGAGAGCCCAGAGAGAGACATGACAGGGACAAGAGAGAGAGACCAGAGAGCGAGAGAGAGACCAGAGAGAGAGAGAGAGATATTTAGATTAAAATGTCTTCTGTTCTTGGAGCCAGACAGAGGGAGGAGCAGGAGATGGAATGCAGTGGTTAAAGTCTGGGTTTCACTGTGTTAACAAGCATATAGACATTTTAATTTTAAATCTATCTCTCTGGTATCTCTCTCTGTTCTCTCTGGTCTCTCTCTGGTCTCTCTCTGGTCTCTCTCTGGTCTCTCTCTGGTCTCTCTCTGATCTCTCTCTGGTCTCTCTACCCCGGTGCACACCGGGGTAGTCTTGCACAGTTTTCCAATGTGGTTTTACTGCAAATGGCAAATAAATGAATCTGAATCTGAATCTCTGGTCTCTCTCTGGTCTCTTGTCTCTCTCTGGTCTCTCTGGTCTCTCTCTGGTCTCTCTCTGGTCTCTCTGGTCTCTCTCTGGTCCTCCTGGGGGACTGAGTTTCTTCTCAGCTAATGCAGTGAGGAAGAGGAAGCCACAGCCGTAATCAGGCCGTTTGAAGCTGTAATCAGTCCATCGCTCTCGCCTGCTGCAGCATCAGACCCAGTCCTGGTCTGAGTGGACTCTAGAGCAGTCCAGATCCATTCCTGGTCTGAGGTGAGGCTAGGGCAGTCCAGAGGGTCCTAAAGCTTAGGTGTTTTGCTTCTGAATTTGCTGCAAAAAAGAAATACATGAAAATAGTTACTAATACTGCTGCTTGTCTGATTTGTTCACAACATTTGATTATTTGTCTGTTGGCAAAACAGATTCCAACAGAGTCAGGGACCCCAGCTTTAAACCCGGATCCCTCCCTACATCACGTCAGGGCATTAGATTGATAGTCCATCTGAATAAAAAAGCGTTCCAAGAAAGCCGCAGCGCTGTATGTAATCGCAGAGTGTGCTGTCCGCTCCGCACGCCACTCTGACGGATGAGGAAACCCGAGAGAGACCTCCCACCACCTGTTCTGTCTCTGCTCCAGTTAAAGCACGGGGACCTAAATCTATACAATCTGTCAATGTCCCAACAGAGAACACAGACCACTACATGCTGTCTTCCCCTCATTCAAAAATATGTTATATTTGTGTTGAGAGACCTGTCCCAGACCAAGACTAGATCTGGACCCAGACCAAAACCAGACCCAAACCCAGACCAAGACACGAATAGAAACATTCTTCTCTTGTGCTCTCAGGATAAATGAGTGTGTGCATAAAAACAGCCAGTTTCTACTGTTGTGTCTTGACATTTGCGGTCCACTTTGACGTTTGACCTTGATTGATTAGCCGTATGCTAATTCAAAGATAATGTATTGGGTTCAAAGTACCATGTCCCACAAAGTACCGGGTCCCAGTCAGAACAGGGCCTTACAGAGTGGAGTTTGGATGTTCTCCCTGTGTCTGCATAGGTATCACTAAAGACATACAACAGCTCTGGTCCTGACCCAGAGCATCAACATCTGGAGATGTCCCCTAGTATACTACGACAACCACTGGTCCTGACAGACGCCCTAACGACAACAAAGGATGGGTCAAATGCAGAGGGCACATTTCCTACAGGGACAATACAGTCTCTCTCACATCGAGGTGTGTGTGAGAGGCCGGTCTGTGTTAGCAGAGCTGGAGTTGGCTGGTGACTCAGAGCTGATGCAGGGGAGACAGGAAGCTGCTTATTTGCACTTCCTGTTTGAGCCCCTCCCACCTGCGGCTCAGACGTGTTGATGTGATGATGATTAGCGTTGGAGGAAAGGGCGCGGCCGCTAATGCTACAACAGCAGGTTTCATCAGAACGAGTTCAATCAGTGAGAGAGACTTCTACAACATAAATGACTACAGCTCAGGAAGCTTCATCTTCTCAGCAGAACAAAGGCTTTTGGTTCTTCTACACCAGACAAATGTCAGATAGCGATGTTATTACCTTTGCATGTAGCAAAGGTCTACTTCATTCTTCCTCAGAAGTGTCTTGCGACATCACTGTTCCTCCCAGACACAGTGGACCCAGTGACCACACAACTGCAGAGGCCGCAGTTTCAAGCAATACTAAAATACATGGAGTTGAAGGATCTCAGTGACTCGTTTGTGCTCGCGGCAGAGGACGCCCTTGGTCCAGTTTGGACACGTCTGTCTGTCATGTGAAAGAGGACCCAAAATTATTGCCCAAAAATAATTATTTGATGATGGTAAATAAAAGTCCAGTAGAAAAACAAACAGACATCGACAATGGACCAGCAGCAAGAGGAGAGGAGCACAGGTACATTTCCACAGAGACACAGGTACATATAGACACAGAGACACAGGTACATATAAACACAGAGACACAGGTACATATAGACACAGAGACACAGGTACATATAGACACAGAGACACAGGTACATATAGACACAGAGACACAGGTACATATAGACACAGAGACACAGGTACATATAGACACAGAGACACAGGTACATATAGACACAGAGACACAGGTACATATAGACACAGAGACACAGGTACATATAGACACAGAGACACAGGTACATATAGACACAGAGACACAGGTACATTTACACAGAGACACAGGTACATATAGACACAGAGACACAGGTACATATAGACACAGAGACATAGGTACATATAAACACAGAGACACAGGTACATATAGACACAGAGACACAGTTACATATAGACACAGAGACACAGGTACATATAGACACAGAGACATAGGTACATATAGACACAGAGACATAGGTACATATAGACACAGAGACATAGGTACATATAGACACAGAGACACAGGTACATATAGACACAGGGACACAGGTACATATAGACACAGAGACACAGGTACATATAGACACAGAGACATAGGTACATATAGACACAGAGACATAGGTACATATAGACACAGAGACATAGGTACATATAGACACAGAGACACAGGTACATATAGACACAGAGACATAGGTACATATAGACACAGAGACATAGGTACATATAGACACAGAGACACAGGTACATATAGACACAGAGACACAGGTACATATAGACACAGAGACATAGGTACATATAGACACAGAGACATAGGTACATATAGACACAGAGACACAGGTACATATAGACACAGAGACATAGGTACATATAGACACAGAGACATAGGTACATATAGACACAGACATAGGTACATATAGACACAGAGGCATAGGTACATATAGACACAGAGACATAGGTACATATAGACACAGAGACATAGGTACATATAGACACAGGTACATATAGACACAGAGACACAGGAAGAGCACAGGTACATATAGACACAGAGACATAGGTACATATAGACACAGGTACATATAGACACAGAGACACAGGAAGAGCACAGGTACATATAGACACAGAGACATAGGTACATATAGACACAGGTACATATAGACACAGAGACACAGGAAGAGCACAGGTACATATAGACACAGGTGAAACACATCAGGGCGGGGCAGACAACCAACAGTGGAAAAGGACAGGAAGTGAAACTAAGACTAAATCAAAATCTATGACAACTTCTGCTCTACAGGATTATATTCAGAGCTGAAGTTTGAGTGTGTCTGGTCTCGCCAACGCAGCTCAACTCAACATGAAGACTTCTGATTCTTCTGCTGGAGGTTCCCAGGCCGGTCCCTCCTGTTCCCAGGCCGGTCCCTCCTGTTCCCAGGCCGGTCCCTCCTGTTCCCAGGTCCCTCCTGTTCCCAGGTCCCTCCTGTTCCCAGGTCCCTCCTGTTCCCAGGCCGGTCCCTCCTGTTCCCAGGCCGGTCCCTCCTGTTCCCAGGCCGGTCCCTCCTGTTCCCAGGTCCCTCCTGTTCCCAGGTCCCTCCTGTTCCCAGGCCGGTCCCTCCTGTTCCCAGGCCGGTCCCTCCTGTTCCCAGGCCGGTCCCTCCTGTTCCCAGGCCGGTCCCTCCTGTTCCCAGGTCCCTCCTGTTCCCAGGCCGGTCCCTCCTGTTCCCAGGCCGGTCCCTCCTGTTCCCAGGTCCCTCCTGTTCCCAGGCCGGTCCCTCCTGTTCCCAGGCCGGTCCCTCCTGTTCCCAGGTCCCTCCTGTTCCCAGGCTGGTCCCTCCTGGTCCCTCCTGTTCCCAGCTCTGTAGGTCTTGATGCAGATTAAATCCTGTGCTGACTCTAACAGTTCCAGTGTGGGACCTGTAGGGCTCAGGGCTCTTCAGACATATTAGAGTGAACACAAACAGTGCAATTATCAAGTGTAATAAGTTCCATGTGAGGATGTGAGGACAGCTGGACGAAGGCCGTGAGAACTGACGGAGAAAGACCCGACATGTTTGAGCTCGTTCTGGGTTTTAATTTTAGTTATAATAATGTTGTGCTTTTTCAGACGGCGACGTCTCGGACATGGTTTCTTTCACCGCTGATGTTTACAGTGCGTTGAAAAGTATTTGTACACATGTTGTTGTCCCATTTCCATGTGTGCCTCGCGTATTGGTAGGTTTGCAGTTGTGCCGTAATCTTCACATTCCCAAAGGATGGATTAAACTTAGAACAATATCTCCTTTTACTTCTGTTCCAGTGGGTCTCCACTGACTCCCATGAGGCTCATATGTACAGTAGAAATATAGCTTTAATGTTCTCTAACAAGTAAAAGTACAAACACATCGGCCACAAATGTCTGTTATTATAGAAGTGGGTTAGTGGTGGTTTAGTGGTGGTTTATTTAGTGACACATGTCACAGTTCTGCGTTTGTCACAATAGAGATTTCAACAGGAGAAGTGAACGATAGCGACAGCTCGGATCAGGAATGCAGCGGTGCCATAAACACAGCCGCGTCCCTCATTGCTCACATAGTTTTGGTTTTGTCACATTTTTACTACACTCAAAACTGAAGGAAAGTGTTGGATTATTTTTATTCTACATTGTAGAATTTATTATTGATTTTTCTTTTGATTTTCTTCCTTGATAATATTTTTTTAGGCCCTGTCCGGACGAAAACACAACAGAATAACATTTTTATCCATATTGCATGAAGACAGGCTCTCTCTCTGGTCTCTCTCTCTCTATGGTTTCTCTCTGGTCTCTCTCTGGTCTCTCTCTCTCTGGTTTCTCTCTGGTCTCTCTTCCTCTCTCTCTGGTCTCTCTCTGGTCTCTCTCTGGTCTCTCTCCCTCTCTCTCTCCCTCTCTCTCTGGTCTCTCTCTCTCTGGTTTCTCTCTGGTCTCTCTCTGGTCTCTCTCTCTCTGGTTTCTCTCTGGTCTCTCTCCCTCTCTCTCTGGTCTCTATCTCTCTATGGTTTCTCTCTTTGGTCTCTCTCTGGTTTCTCTCTCTTGTCTAAATCTGATAATAAAGCGTTCTATTCTTCTTGACATAAGCCTCCACTTCCTATAAATTCCTGGGCTCTCTTGCATGAACTGCAGGTTGGCGACCCCCACATCAGAGGCACTGGTCCTGATCCTCTGGACATGTGTGTGATGGACTCAGAACATTCTCAGCATTAAAAACAGATGTAGGTCGTACATAAGAACACAGCTCCTCTCAGGGCGGCTCCACCTCCACATCATTCATGGTCTCTCTCTGGTCTCTCTCTGGTCTTTCTCTGGTCACTCTCTGGCCTCTCTCTGGTCTTTCTCTGGTCACTTTCTCTCTAGTCTCTCTCTGGTCTCTCTATGGTCTCTCTCTGGTCTCTCTCTGGTCTCTCTCAGGTCTCTCTCTGGTCTCTCTCTGGTCTCTCTCTGGTCTCTCTCTGGTCTCTCTCTGGTCTCTCTCTGGTCTCTCTCTTGTCACTCTGATCTCTCTCTGGTCCCTCTCTGGTCTCTCTCTGGTCCCTCTCTGGTCCTTCTCTGGTCTCTCTCTGGTCTCTCTCTGGTCTCTCTCTGGTCTCTCTCTGGTCCCTCTCTGGTCCTTCTCTGGTCTCTCTCTGGTCTCTCTCTGGTCTCTCTCTGGTCTCTCTTGATTACAGCAATTATTACCTCATATTTGATCATTTTTGCAGAGCAGGCTCCTCTGCCTCAGCATCATTCCTGAGTGGTTTGGATGTGGGAGATGTGGGGGAGTTGAGGGGGAGGTGGGAAGAGGTGGGGGGGAGATGTGGGGGAGTTGAGGGGGAGGTGGGAAGAGGTGAGGGGGAGGTGGGGGGGAGGTGGGGGTGTTGCGTGTGATGGTCTCACACGCTGAGCACATGGGAACAGCCCGCAGAGGTCTGGCCTCCATTACCATGAGCTCCAGGGACCAGCAGATAACACACACATGTAGCACATACCAGCAGAGCTCAGGAATGTTTGGAACCAGGTTTTTCTCCTCAGTTTGATTCATAGTTCTGACGTTTTAATGATGCTTCAGACCAGGAGAGGACAGGGAGGCAGGAGCACTTATTTGGATCTTTATTGTATGTACAGTATATTGTTTACTCAAAGCACAATCAAGTCATTATAATAATCACAGTGCACCCAGTTAACCCTTTAGTCCGTCTCACATTTTCAGAAAGACTGTTTAAGATTTTAACTGCATTAATCTGAAACGCTGCCTCCTCATGTTTAGTCCTGACTCTGGGACCAGCAGGAGGCCAGTCCCTGTGCTCCTCAGAGTCCCAGCTGTAAACTTCTCTCCTCCTGTTGTAGCTGCACTTTGCTCCAACCAATTTTCAAATATTTACAGTTTGACAAAATGATGAATGTGTGTTTGTGTTTCCAATTGGAGCGTTGTGATTGTGTAATGAGTGTGTAGTGTGTGTGTGTAGTGCAGGTGTGTGTAGTGTGTGTGTGTGTAGTGCGTGTGTGTGTAGTGTGTGTGTGTAGTGCGTGTGTGTAGTGCGTGTGTGTGTTGTGTGTAGTGCGTGTGTGTGTAGTGCGTGTGTGTAGTGCGTGTGTGTAGTGCGTGTGTGTGTAGTGCTGGTGTGTGTAGTGTGTGTGTGTAGTGCGTGTGTGTGTTGTGTGTAGTGCGTGTGTGTGTAGTTGCGTGTGTGTAGTGCGTGTGTGTGTAGTGCGTGTGTGTGTAGTTTGTGTAGAGTGTACAGTGCGGTCTCTTTGAACAGCGCTGACAGCTTGTCTCGCTCGTTCCTGTTTTGTTCCATAGATTGTGTCGCTGCTTTAGCTGCTTCCTGTGTTTGATGTAAAGAATGTTTCTATTTCAGATTCAGACACAGATCTGCAGATTCTTCCACTTTATCCGTTGCCGGGTCGTGGGGGCAGCAGTCTGAACAGAGACGTACACTTCCTCCAGCTCATCTGGGGGAATCCTGAGGCGTTCAGCTGACAGTCCTCTGTGTCCTGGTCTCCTCCTGGTCTCCTCCTGGTCTCCTCCTGGTCTCCGCACAGAACACATCCTCAGGGAGGCGTCCAGGAGGCATCCCAAACAGATGAGCCACCTCCACTGGCTCCTCTCCACTTGGAGGAGCAGCGGCTCTACTCTGAGCTCCTCTGCCTCTAATGGAGCTCTACTCTGGAGGAGACTCATGTGGAGCTTATATCCGTGACTCAAGACCAGAGGTGAGGGAACGGAGCAGTGAATCGAAAGCTTTGACTACAGACGCTGCTCCCTCCTTCACAACAGTCGAAGACAAAGACTGGGTGAGGCTGAGGGTGGTGGGTGAGATGGGGGAGGCTGAGGCTGAGGGTGGGTGAGAGTGAGGATGGCTGAGGCTGAGGGTGGCAGGTGAGGGTGGATGAGAGTGGGTTAGGCTGAGGGTGGTGGTTGGGTGAGGGTGAGGGTAGTGGGTGAGGCTGAGTTTGATGGGTGAGTGTGGGAGAGGCTGAGTTTGATGGGTGAGGCTGAGTTTGATGGGTGAGTGTGGGAGAGGCTGAGTTTGATGGGTGAGGCTGAGTTTGATGGGTGAGTGTGGGTGAGGCTGAGTTTGATGGGTGAGTGGGTGAGGCTGAGTTTGATGGGTGAGTGTGGGTGAGGCTGAGTTTGATGGGTGAGTGTGGGTGAGGCTGAGTTTGATGGGTGAGTGGGTGAGGCTGAGTTTGATGGGTGCTGACAGCTGAACAGTGAGCAGTGTTTTCTCTTTATGTTTTTCTGTTGTTTTTGAGGCTGAGGAAGGAACTGCTGCAGGAGCCCAGGGGCCGGAGCCCAGGGGCCGGAGCGCGGGCCCCGAGACTGATGTGTTGTTTTAAAACACAATGGCCTCATGTCAGAAAGGGACGTCTTAAAGCTCGGGTTCGTAACTTTCAAACCACAGAAAAGCCATGGTCTGCCTCTGTCCAAAAGGAGACCGTGTTAAACAATCAACTCTTTGGGTGCTTTCACACCTGTTGGTCCACTAAAGTGGTTCGCTTGGGCCCTAAAGTTGTTACAATGTTGCAGTTCTCAACTGGTTTGGTTCTCATTCACACCAGTGTTTTTGCAAATGAACCGACCACTGTGGATGTTACATATTCCGGCACCCATGTGGTGGCGCTGTTCACAAAATACTGTGTATTGGATGACGTAGGTGACTGTGCTACTCTGCATTTTTTGGCTATTTTTTATCATCGTTGCTTTGTGCAGCACAAATACTGTTGTTCCAGTATGTATCGCAGATTCAGCACGAGAACAATCTGCAGGTGTTTTTGACGATTCTATCATATAAAAAAACAATGTGTGTGTCAAAACGTGAGCTACGCAACAGACCAGGGCCATATTGAGGCCGGTCTGCGTTCTCACCAGCAGCGAACCAGACTGGAGTCCACATGGAACCGCACCGAGACCAGCTCCATATGGTGGTCTCGGTGCGGTTCTTTAGTCCGGACCAAATTTAACTGGTCCGCTTTCAAACCTGCTCAAACGAACCGTACTTGCAGGTGTTCCAGACTCCAGTCCGCTTTAAGTGGACTAAATGGTGCAGGTGTGAAAGCACCCTTTGATTCACCTCTCTCTGCACACATGGTCCTCACATGGTCCACACGCGGTCCACACACGGCCCTCACGCGGTCAACACACGGTCCTCACAAGGTCCACACACGGCCCACAATCGGTACTCACACGGTCCACACACAGTCCTCACATGGTCCACACATGGTCCTTACACGGTCCTCACACAGTCAACACACATTCCACACATGGTCCTCACACGGTCAACACACGGTCCTCACATGGTCCTCACACGGTCAACACACGGTCCACACATGGTTCTCAGAGTCTGGTGAATGAAACATAAATAAACATTGGACACTTTACACATGGTCCGTCCTCCTCTGGTTCTCGCAGAGACACAGGACGTTCCTCTGTGATTACTCTTTATCTGAGGATCAGGAAGAGCCCTCATTAGGCGCTGGACAAACGCACAACTCTGTAGAGGGACACACAACACTGTAGAGGGACACACAACACTGCAGAGGTCTGGAGTTTTCTGTAGGAAATGTACGGACTACACACTCTGAGGAGCACAGGGACTGGTCTCCTGCTGGTCACTCTGAGGAGCACAGGGACTGGTCTCCTGCTGGTCACTCTGAGGAGCACAGGGACTGGTCTCCTGCTGGTCCCAGAGTCAGGTCTAAACTTGGGGAGGCAGTTTCATATTTATGCAGCTAAAACCTGGAATAGTCATTCTGAAAACGTGAGACAGGCTTCTCCTCTGACAATGTTCAAATCCAGGTTAAGACACACACGCCATATTCATGTTCCAGAAACCTATGACAGTAAGACAATAACACAGGAATGAGGTGTGCGTTTGGCCCCGAGTGTGGTTCATAGTGTGTGTGTGTATGTATGTGTGTGTGTAGATACGAGTGTGTGTAACAGCCAGTCTTCTTATCACACCTCTGCAGACCCAGTGTTCAGGGGCCACAGACAGGGACCCGACATGACTGCCTCTGTCCTCAGGGTTAAACGAGGAGACTGAGATCGCCATCAGGAGAGAGTACAGTCTATGTGAGAGAGAGCAGACAGAGTAGAGAGCAGTGTGTGACTCCCAGTGGCAGAAGAGAAAACTACAAGTATTTACTGAAGGAATCCTGGAGTCTGCTGCACTTCTCACTGCATCATCGTGGATCATTTCACATCCTGACAACTGTATTTGTTACATTTGTATCTGGTTTTCATTCATAAAACTTTCCCAGAATAGAAAACTGATAGCACAGAGGATCCGCTCTGATGACCTCAGATGTGACAATAACATCAGATTCTTTGGTGACAGATGCTCACATGTTTTACCTGATCCCAGTCTGTGTTGACTCTGGTAGCATTAGCATGTTAGCACACAGGGAGGACACAGTGAACACACCCAGCCTTATCTACCCATGCTGTACATTTAACACATTCAAATCATTACCAGCTCATTCTTTAACCCATTATTCAAACCTTTAACCTAACAATTGAAAGTAGAAAAATACCCTAAATTAGAGTAATTGGCCCAGGGCCGCTCCAGTTATAGTAAACTTCAATATACCCTACATTTTTTTATTCACTGTGTGTGACGGTTTGACCAGAGGCACAAGGGTTAGAGGCAGTCACTTTCAGCCTCCCCAGCCTCAAGCTACACTAAAAAAAATAAAATAAAACAAAAACCATTACACACTTTTTAAACCTTTTTGAACTTAGACTTGAGCCTGACTCAGTAGCTGGCTGCACATCGTCACACTGACCACAAGAGGGAGACACCAGCTGCTGTTTGAATGTCTGCTGCTCTACAAAGTCCTATTCATGGATCATCAACATTTACTCTTCTTCAGAACAGTGTGATAGTCTGTTCTGAAGAGCCACAGGATCAGGACTCAGTTTTGTATAAAGATTGATTGAAACTAATTTTATTCTTTGTGGTGTGTGCGTGAGCATGAACAGACTCAAGCCAGCCTGTCTAAAATATCTTTATTGTAAAAGAGTTCAGTTGATGAAGATGGGGCCAGAGGAGACGTGTTCCTGCGCAGACACTTTGGGACCTGGATCACAGGAAAAACACTTTTAAAAACTTAGAAAAACTCCTTCCTGAATCTTTTAACTGTAGCTGATGCAGACTGTCACCTGAGGTCTGGGCAGAGCAGTGTCCGGAGCACACGGGGTCCATGGGGTTCCTGGGGTCACAGATCGTCACGTCACAGTGGACGAACAGCTGCAACATAAACAGATGTAGCTTCACAAAGATCCTGGTTTTATTTATTTAATTCATATTTTTCGCAATGAGCTTCCACCCATATCACAGCACTGGCCCCTCACTGATCCTCACTGATCCTCCTGCAGGTTTGGGTCCACGGGAAGATGGCTGCTGCTTTGATTAAGATACCGCATTGGTCTTTTAGCGGAGGCCTCAGGTAATGTGGGGTTAAATGTCTTGCCCAAGGACACAACATTACAGACATCATTGGGAGCGGATGACATGTGTCGTGGGGAGGATCGAACCCATGACAATCAGGTTCATTAGGTTCCACACACTGATGACGGAAGCGAGTCACCAAACACACTGGCAATCAGCCCTATCCATTCACCCTCTCATACATTCATACCTTTATAGTGGTAGGGAAAACCGGAGCACTCTGAGGAAACCTACGCAGACACAGGGAGAACATGCAAACCCCACTCAGGCCCTGTTCCGACCAGATTCGGACCCAAGACCATCTTGCTGAGAGGCGAGAGTGCTAGCCACTCAGCCACTGTGCCGCCCAAACATGTGTTTGATCCTGTCGCACCTGAGAAGCTAAGCAGGGCAGGGCCGGGCAATGGCTCAGATGAGTCGCTCAGTGCCCCAGGGCAGCTGTGGCTACAGTTGTGTGTGGAGTGAATGAATAATTCTGAAGAATCTTTGGGCGTAGAGGAAAGCGATGGAAAACCCACACATGACCTTTTTGGTGCCAGAAGCTTCTACAGAACACTTTCTATACAGGGACATGGATCCTACAGAAGTTTTCACATATTAGTCACATATTAGGCCCCGTTTATACTGAGACGCTGCGCAGACGTTTCCAGGCTATTAACAGAAACGACCTGGCTCCTAATGCAAATTTCTCAGTGTTCACATGAGGTTGAAAAACTATGTAGTTCTAGCGCCCGGCCAGTAGTGGGCAGAGAAACTTTACAACACTCACACGACCCCCAGCCCCGTGCCCAGCCCCCTCTCGGCAGTGTACTCACTTCCTGTTCCAGACCCTCAGAAAGTACCAACATCATTCTGCATTTTAACAGCCGCTGTGAACATGGAAACTGAACCTAGAGCTTCGCGTGGCCTCGTTTGGACGAACGAAGGTGTAGAATTATCCTCTGTCCCGCGCTGGAAGCCCACGTAGCTAGTTAGTTTACCGGCCGCCATTATTGTTTATGTTTGTTCTCCGCTACTGCGCATGTCCAAATTTACGTGCGGGGAGCAGCGCGGAGGTGGGGGTCAGAGCAGAGGGGGATTTCACACCTTTCCCCTCTCGCGGGTGTGAAAGAGCCCCTGCTGTGCAGCGTTTCTGAGTTGTCCCACTCTGCAGGCTGGATCTGAACACTTACGTTTTCACCCCCCTGAAACACAGTCTCCGTATGAACGGTTGGTAGCAACCGACATCCAACTATACCGTTTTACTGCCACATTGTCTCCGTGTAAACTCAGCCTTAGTCCTCCATCTCCTATATCCAGTTTCAGCACGCCAACTCTTGTCAGCTGCATATATTTCTAAAACAATGTGTGACTTGGATTTTATTACAGTCCATCGTGGTTCAGGAGTCTGTGTGAAACAGATTCACATTTTTGTCTCAGGACTTCAACAAATCAAACGCACATTTTAAGTATGAACAAAACCGCACCATTGCATTTCTCTTATTGGACCACAACGACCCTGGACTCTTCATCACAGTGAGCCGTAGACCAGGGCCTCGCAGCAGTGAGGGATGGCTCCTCTGTGGCCCCTGACCCAGCTGTGAGGGCCGTCATGTGGTCCCCATCACTCTCAGGCCGAGCACACACACACACACACACACGCACATCCCATCACCCCTCGGACAGGTTTACTTACAGCTCTGCACACGACCATAAAAGTCAAGGCCACAATTATGAACGTTAGCGTGAAGCCAGAACCAATCACCAAAAGGTTTTTTCTACATTAAAATTACATAACGGTCGCTTTGAGGAGATCTCACATGTGCGGCTCTTGCAAAGCAGCCCAGGAATTTACAGGAAGGAGACTTTGTTGAGAATGGACAGCTTTACCATCAGAGAGACCAGAGAGTTTAAGTTCAAATCTGCCGGATTCAGTCAGTTGCCCGTGTTCTACTTTTCGGGCAACTAGTTGTCCTCAGATCCGGAGATATCACGTCAACTGTAGTTGAGGCCAGTTGCTGTCGATGTACGTGCTGTTATTCGTGCTGTTATTCCCGAGACTGGCCTGCTACTAGGAGCTGCCCGTTTTCGCCAGATTGTTGATGTGTGCGGGGCAGCAACTCATATGCGACGGATATAATCAGTTGCCAGTCCGATGTACGCTAGGCATTACATACTGTAATACCGCCAACACTAGGGTTTTGTCACACTCTCAGGTTGCTCTCTAGTCGAGGGGCAGACCCCGATACAGTCCTACTCTGAACCACTTTGTACTCCTCCTGCATGTGTAGTCCTGGGTCTCACCTGGGGACTGGCCTGGGACAGGTAAAGCTGGAACCTCTTGAGCTGAGGAGAGAAGCGCACTCTGGAGTCTTCCCACACCGGGACGAGTCTCACTGGGAACCAACCATCACGGACCACACACCTGCACAGGAGAGGGGGGGGCGAGAGTTAGACACAGGACCAATTCGGGCGTTCTGCTCTCCCAAAATTCCATCCACTGAGCGGCGCTGTGATCAAAAAATGACACCGTTTGTTGCCCAGTTCACTTCCGGTTGATTTCATACAATGGCGAATATGGCTCACGAAAACAACAAGCGATTGACAGTGCCTGAATTGCGTGAAAGGTTGAAGCGAAAGGGTATTTGCAGTGTGGGAAAACGAAAGGAGGAATTGTTGTTGCTAGTTCAACGAGCGGATGGTGTTTATGAAGATTTAGAAGAAGATGACAGCGAGCAGAGTGAACGAAAACGGCTGTGTGTGCGAGTGACAGATGGTAACAATGAGAATGAAGTTCAGCTAAGAGGGAAGAATGTGAATTGGACGGATGATTTGCGCGATATGCCACTAGTTAGAGACGGGAATGTATTTGCATACAGAAAATGACGAAAACACTCAACCATTTAGAGAAAATGCGCCGGGCAGAGAGAACCGGAAGTTGCGAAGGCAAGTGTTACCCATAATGCAACGCAAAATTCAGTCGCTCCCCCGCCCATCGGATGGAATTTTGGGAGAGCAGAACGCCCGAATTATATGTACAGATTTGAACAGGTCTACAGTTACTGAGGTTGGGTCTCCCTCCCTCCCTCCAGGTCTATACTCACCTGTATGAGACTATATATGGATGAATGATTGTGTATGACTCGTAATTGTGTGTGTGGACGTGTGTGTTTTGTGTTGTATGAGTGAAGATTTGGAACCAGCTCCTGCGTCGGAACACATGCCCATATAAGGAGATTGGTTCCTGCAATCTTAGATTCAGTCCATTTCTAATCCAAAGACTATGGTCTTCATCTATTCTGCTCACAAAATACATGTTAATTTGACTGTTTTTTCTACAGGAGCACAGGGACATTAGGATGAGTGATGTGTGTCCAATGTTTGTCAGATCTGCTTGCGTGAGAGAGAGACCAAGACCAAAGAGCAGCCCCGGACCCTGAGGCAGTTACCCGTTGATGATGAGGTCCCATGAGGGAGCCGTGGTCCCGTCCTGGTCCTCTGTGACCCAGCACCTCTCCAGCTCCAGAGAAACTCTCCCTCTGAGCACCGGCTGCAGCTCCACCTCCAACCACAGCGCCTCCTGCTGGTTTTTGGACAAAGGGAAGTCCTGGTCTGTGTAGAAGTCTGTGAACGACTGGTCTGGAAGAAACAAGGAGACATGAACTGGTGTTAGATAGATGCTTGGACCCATGGGCAAGACACTTAACCCGCCTCCCCCATGAGTCTGAGTGCTCTGGTGCATGAGTGAGCAAGTGTTTCCTTGATAAAGAACAAGTGCAATAGAGGAGAGAATATTCCAAATAAAGCCTCAGGGTAACTGGAGAGATTGTCCTGTGCACCTCCTCTAGAAATATAATTAAATAGAAAAGACAAACTCTCAGATTCCTAATCTGTGACTTCCTTTTACAATGGCAATACAAAGAATTCTGATTCCAAAAATATTCCAGGACGAGACGATCTGAGCCGTGACAGTATCTGCAGCTCAAGCTCAGAACTTTTTGGCTTCAATATTTGGAGTCTGTCCAGACAAATGTCCAGACAGACCTCCTCCGTGACCCCCCCCCCCCCTCCCTCCCTCAGCTCCTGGAGTCACTGATGCTGCAGTTTCATTACAACCACAACATTCATCAGACTCATTAGTAAAGTGCTTTTTGTCGACAGAACGACAGGAAATCAACCAGAATCAGTGTCCCAGGATCACTCCCACAGCCTCAGAAAACACAGGCTTCAGAATCACTTTAAGTTTTTTGAGTTTCGTTACTTTTAAACAACTTTTCCCAGAGCACATGTTTTAACACAAAAGTAGCAGAAAAAGTAACTCGACTCAACCACCAGAGAACACTAGAGTAGACCCCAGTAGAGACTAGAGAAGACCCCAGTGGAGACTAGAGACTAGAGTAGACCCCAGTAGAGACCAGCGTAGACACCAGAGTAGACACCAGAGTAGACACCAGAGTAGACACCAGAGTAGACACCAGAGTAGACACCAGAGTAGACACCAGAGTAGACACCAGAGTAGACACCAGAGTAGACACCAGAGTAGACACCAGAGTAGACACCAGAGTAGACACCAGAGTAGACACCAGAGTAGACACCAGAGTAGACACCAGAGTAGACACCAGAGTAGACACCAGAGTAGACACCAGAGTAGACACCAGAGTAGACACCAGAGTAGACACCAGAGTAGACACCAGAGTAGACTCTGGCTGGGGGAAATGGGACTTAATTGACCCAAACTGTCTCTGAGACTGAGAGATCGGCTCTAAAACGGTCCTCACCGCGGGACATCCTCATGCGCACGTGCAGCTGTCCCACCGCAGTCTCTGCGTGAGGCTCGATTGCCCGCTCACCGATGTGGAGAGAGAGTGCAGACGTGGTGTTGGTGTCATAGAGGCACTTCACCCTCAGACTGGAAACAAATAATGTCATTGCACTCTGGCCCGGCCCCTCTCACCCTCTCACCCTCTCACCCTCTGGCCCCTCTCACCCTCTGGCCCCTCTCACCCTCTGGCCCCTCTCACCCTCTGGCCCCTCTCACCCTCTGGCCCCTCTCACCCTCTGGCCCCTCTCACCCTCTGGCCCCTCTCACCCTCTGGCCCCTCTCACCCTCTGGCCCCTCTCACCCTCTGGCCCCTCTCACCCTCTGGCCCCTCTCACCCTCTGGCCCCTCTCACCCTCTGGCCCCTCTCACCCTCTGGCCCCTGTGTCAGATACTCACTTATACTCTGGCTCCTCCCTCCCTTCTGCGATCTTCTGCCGCACTTCCTGATCCGGGAGAGAGATCTCGTTCCTGTAGACCATGGTGCTGCCCACGAACTGAAACATTTAAAAGGATTGAAACAATCAGCTGTAAAATATGAACCGATGGCGGCGAGTAACAGTCTTCAAGAAAAAAGCAGCACTCTCTGTAAAGAGTGAGGAGTTTATGTATTTGAGGAGGACACGACCAGAAGAACTGTCTTTAGTGTTAGAACACACTGGTCACTGGTCCATAGGCTTTAAGGACATGCACACATTTAAAATGTACAAATATACAATTAATCAAATATTTCATTTCAGAACGAAGATACGGTCTTGGTGTTTCAGCGAGGGCTTCAGGCAAAGCGGAGTTAAATGTCAGACATTGGTGAGAGCAGATGACATGTGTTGACCATTAGGTCCAAAGACTTATGGCTCTACCAACTGAGCCAATGTCAGCCAGTTTCAGACTCTGGTGAAAACTACATCAGAAACTCTGGGTTACTTTTAGAACACATGACCCCTGCGATAAACCAGGGACCAGTGTGTGAGAATATGGATCAAATCAGTTTAACGGTTGCTTCTATCAAAAGTTCCATGAATTTGTCACATCTATAGATTGGCCTCTTTCATTGTCGGAAAAAGTTTATCAGCCCAAAGAGTCAGATGGTGACTCACAGGGATATGTCTTACACAAAGGAGAACATGAGTGAATCAGACCACAGCATGCCGTCTTTATAGAAAACAACATTTTACCTTTACGACACTTTCTGTTGGAAAAAACAATGTATTATTGATGATAAATATAAAAGTTAGTCTCCATCAGCAGCTCTATTTAAAATAGTCTAAGTGCAGAGAGTGAAACACTACATAATTCAGGTTCTACATGACGCCGAGCTGCTGTGGTCCTGCTGCTTTAGAGCCAGCACCTGCTCTCAGCCTGGATGGATCTAAAACCCTCCCCAAGTCATACTTCTCTGGTGGTGCCGCAGGAGCTGGCGCTGAAGATGAAGAAGGCGTAGGTCTCTGTGCTGTAGCGGGGGCCACACTCGGGGTCCAGCAGCGAGAGTCGAGACGGGTCCAGGTCCGGGACCGAGGCCAGCTTCAGAGCCAGAGCCGCAATGGTGCCGTTAGGGAAGCACTCTGCACCACAACAGACAAAAGAGACAGATCAGAGGTTTAGAGAAGACTGGTATCTTCATTGATCTGCATGTGGGGATCTTAGCCATTTCAAATTAATAACATGTAGGATTCGTGGAAACAGCTGTAATCTGTGCAAGTTTAAAAAGAGCATGAAAAACTGGCAATGCAACAGAGAGACGGACACAAGGAACAACAAATGCAAAAGGACAGACAAATGGGAGAGGAAGCCCTGACCCTAAAGGGAGAGAAACGAGGAGAATTTAAGGGGTATGGTAGGATTGTGATGTTTACAGGGTCAGTGTGTTTGTAATGCAGCAGCGCAGGAGCAGGTCATTGTCAAACAGAAACAAAAGCAGTTGGATGAATGACCACATTACAGACATCAGAGAGTCGCCTCAAAGAGAAGATCCATCACCGTCTCAGTAATGAACAGGCTAATGTTCTGGATCTGACAACAATCACCATTTCCTTCATGCGTCTCAGAGTCTTCTCCAAAACTATTAGTTAAACATTAGAGCCACTCACTGCTAAAACTGACGCTCATCACAACATTCAGCAAAAAGACCTCCAGGTTCGGTGAAGGGTCATTTCACTTTGACGTTTTTAATGCCACAAACTAAACTAAAAGTTGGGGCAATAGTGGAGGACGTTCGCTAAAGCAGAAGCCATGATCTTGGTGGACTGGGAGAGTGTGACATCACCAGTGTTGGCTCCAGCTTATGTCCAATTCTGTTTCCTCTACATTAAAGCTAATCTCTTCATATGATTTAAGTCTATGTACATAAGCTTTTGGCTTTGTGTTCTCAGGGTCAGACGTGTTGCTGCAGTTGGACATTGTAGGTGCAGGTCCCATACACACACACGCCGCAGACACAGGTACACACACACACACACACACACACACACACACACACACCTGTGACGGTGGAGAAGAAGCTGCAGCTCAGAGAGAAATCTTTGAGGCGTCTCTTGTTTTCTAGAGCGAGCAGCGTCACGTCCAGCCGAGCACGGACCATTGACGCTTCCACAGACTGAGACACAACAAACCATCAACACAGCAACAAACCATCTGAACAGTGAAATGTCTTTATGACTATATAGCACAGCACACTAGTTGTAAGAAAAATGACATTCTGAGCGATACAGAGGCAACCCGTGTTCTAGTAATATGTTCATGAGACATTACAACACGACACACCACAAGAGCTTATGTTCTGGTTCTCCTGGTCTGCGCAGTTGTATAAAGACAGAGCACAGAGATAGACAAAACTTTTCCCCCGCAAATCTTTTTTTATTAAAGCTGTAGTTCTGTCTGAGGACGAGCAGTTTTAGTGACACCGAGGTCTGTGGGGAAATCTCATGTGGATTTAGGTTGCAGTACCGCAGGTGGCCTCTAGTTCATGTGGGGACAGGTTTAAAGGACAACTCACCCTCAAATCCACTTTTTTTTGCTGATAAACGGTATAAATGAGTGTCCAATAGTGTTGTCTACATATCCTGGTCATAATCTTGTCACTTTGGTGCAAATTAGTTGAAAGTTAGACTTTCTGCCTAAAACCGTCTGTGAGGCGCCATCTGCTGGCGACCTGTATTACTACATTTGAATTTTGAATCTGGCGCCAACACTGGCACAGAAGTTGGACCTGACGTCTGCAAGTTGGACCTGACGCCAGCAGCCCCCCGCCCAGAGCAATGTAAACGGCCCAGTCTCGTTCACGCCCCCTTTAGTCCTCCAGGCTACGCCCATTTAGAGGAAGATTTGAACAGGAAATGTGAGTGACGTAAGCTCCGAGGAGCGGGGGTGAGAACCACTTTAAGCAGAAACACCCTCTACATCACATACACCTATGGAGAGAAGCATGTACCTCGTAGACCACGTCCGGAGCCAGGATGGGCACAGTGAAGGTGAAGTGCGTCCCGTTCTCGGTGAAGCCGTAGAGCTGCGCCAGACTCTGGGTCAGAGAACGCTTCCCCACCAACATCTGGAACTGCACCGAGGACGCCCCCACCAGGATACTGAAGCTCTGGTCCTCACACTCACCAGTGACCAGGGGGGCTGGAGGGACAGGGACTGGCATTTGTCCTGGAATTTGTCCTGGCATGGGTCCGTGTCCCGGCATTTGTCCTGGCATGGGTCCGTGTCCCGGCATTTGTCCTGGCATGGGTCCGTGTCCCGGCATTTGTCCTGGCATGGGTCCGTGTCCCGGCATTTGTCCTGGCATGGGTCCCTGTCCCGGCATTTGTCCTGGCATGGGTCCCTGTCCCGGCATTTGTCCTGGCATGGGTCCCTGTCCCGGCATTTGTCCTGGCATGGGTCCCTGTCCCGGCATTTGTCCTGGCATGGGTCCGTGTCCCGGCATTTGTCCTGGCATGGGTCCGTGTCCCGGAATTTGTCCTGGCATGGGTCCGTGTCCCGGAATTTGTCCTGGCATGGGTCCATGTTCCGGTCCCGGCATGGGTCCATGGTCTGGTCCTGAAGCATACACAAGCAGAACAATCAGTGCTTTAGCTCCATCAGAGAAACCTTCAGAAGCCTTTTGTCTTACACAGACCATAGAAGGAAACTACCCGTGTTGTGTTTGTCAAGCACCATCATCTACTTTGTCATGATGACTTCAGCTGTAGTCTGTTCATTGCTATTCATCCACTATCCCATTGTTCGTTTCATGGCGTGATGAGAGCGCCAACACGGACATGCTACTTCAGCGGAAATCTGTAGCCAAATGTACGGTAATGTGTGGCTAGCAACGACCGCGCAACGAAAGAGCCAATCATGAGCATCGGTCTCTGCTGATAAATTCACGAACAGAAGACACTTTATTGGTCAGTAGTTAGACAAGTTAGTGAGGAGTTTACATTTAATAATAAAAATTTACATGGAAGTTAATAGGAGCCAAACTTCCCTCTTTGGCTTCATTGAGCTAGCGGGTTAGCATTGTCCATCGGTACACAGTGTCACAAAAACACAGACCTGAATCCAGCAGCTGAGCCTCCAGAGTCGAGGACAGAGCGAAAGCCTGGAGCTCCGGAAGAACCAGGAACCCGAACGTGACGTGGGCAGAGAACAAGGTGAGGCCAGAGTGTGTCTGTGGACGCAGCAGGAACCAAATATCAACCTTTACTTCTGTGTAGATGTGTTAGAGACATCAGTGGTGTTTTCATAGCAACTTCATCTAGACCATTCAACGCCCCGAAAGTTAGTGTACTCAATTTTGTTTATAATTGTGCTATTTGAACCTGGGAGGTACAGCAACAACAAAAACAAATCTATTAAATAAGGTCTTTGTGTGAAGTGGAATTAAATGCCTTGTTGGGGCTTCAGTGACATTTTGCTGGATGATTCTGTGACTTTGGTTCAGCAACATCACAGACTAAGAGCTCTAAACAAGGTGCTCTGAAAGAGGACCGAGACCAGAGACACAGAGAGAGACAAGAGGTGCTCTGCTCTGAAAGGACTGTGAGCCATCTGTACTGGAGGTTCTTTATTAATCCAGATTAATAGAATAATCAATGACTCCTCTGGCCCCTGGAAAGCCATGTTCCAGCTTCTTCCCTCAGGCAGAAGACATTGTTTGCGGAGATGCAGGACTTGTGTAAATACAGTTTCTCATCTGTACGAGCAGGAGTTTTGGTAATGTTTCATAGTTGGGACAGTTTGTGGACGGGACAAACATGGATCTCAATGGAAAGACAAGGCTCTAATCAGACTCCAGTAAAATACTTTATGATCTCTGAGACCCTTTCTGCTCGTGCAGCTCTATCCTCTGATCATGTATCGCATTAAAATTGACACACCACACATAACTTATTCAAATCTTTATATTTAATAATAACTGAATAACTGTCCAGTCTGAGTCTGTCCGGGTTTAATTCCACGACCAACATTTAGTGATTGAGCTGCGTCAGATTGTTTTTGTGAAAACGACAGGTCAAAAGTGAGTGGACGGAAACTGTTTAAATCACCACTGCCGAGTCTCCGGGTACTCACCGTGCTGAACACTGCCGAGTCTCCGAGGGGCAGATGGACGGTGATGGTCTTCAGACTTCCTGGATCCAGGCCGTGTTCCTGGATCCTGAAGCCTCTGTAGACGAACTGCTCTTGGGTCAGAGTCTCCGAGGGGAAGGAGATGTTGAAGAGGACCACATCAGGAGCAAAGGGCCCTATTGTCACCCGGAACAGGCCCTCAGAGGGGTCCGTGTCTGCGGGGCATCAGGGGGAGTCAGCACAGAGGAGACTCAGGTTTGAGGAAATACAGGGAATTTTCAAAAAGATTGAAACTTTCCAGAGGGAGTGACAGAGAGCGATCAGAGAGAGAGACAGCGACCAGAGAGAGAGAGAGACAGAGAGACGGAGACCAGAAAAAGAAGAGAAAGCCCTTGTAAAAACGTTGCAGGGCGGGTTAAATGGTGAGTCGTTACAGCACATGTCTCTGTGTGGATATTGAAGTATGAACTGTGCCACTTGAAGCAACTCTAAATTCTGAACAAAAACCTTTTGATCCTCGTCATCCGGCGAGAAGTCTGTTTGTGTAAAGTGCAGTGTTACTGTTCCACCTGCTGCTGTGGTCACTTTCAGAATCATGTGCGTTTGTGTTTCTGCTGCTGACACCTGCATCACTCCCACAGGGATCAATACAGAATCTAAAGAGCCACAGGTTCCTGCCCCTGGTGTAGATAGTTACCATAAGAGAGGCGTGGCGGCTGGTCCAGCAGCGGGGTCTGGATGGGGAACAGGACCTTGTACCTGGTGTCGTCTCTAGAACCATCCTCAGTCCAGAGCAGCTCCAGCACCGGCTCCACACTGTAGGTCATCAGGTACTGACCGCTCCGCACCACGCTCTGAGGACAGCAGGGACTTTAGCATCGGGGGAGACTTTAGCCTCTCGGGGGGCGGGGGGGGGGGACTTTAGCATCAGTGAAACATGAGGCAACAGTAGGAGACAAGTTTATACAGATCTGTGGATAAATGTTTATTGCTGCATCATTGACAGTGGTTCTGTGAAAGAAAGGAGACCAGCGAGGGGGAAAGGCACCAGTGAGAGAGAGAGAGAGAGACAGGCACCAGTGAGAGAGAGAGAGACAGGCACCAGTGAGAGCCTCTAAAAAAAAAAAAAAAAAAAACTAGGTTGCAAGGCGGATTAAACGCCAGTGGTTGCAGCAGTCCCTGTGGTACCTTGTAGTGGCCTCCCTTGGCTCCGATGGGGATGTCCACCAGGATGTGTGGCTCGCTCACAGTGAGACGGTACCTGTGCTCCTTCAACTCCTGGGCCTCCAGCCTCCTGCCCTCTACACCCAGACCCACGTCCAGGAGAGAGACTCTACCAGAGGAAAGGAGAGGGGAGAGGCGAGAGGGGAGGACCCAGCGGATCGAGGTCTGGTTGAAGAGAACGCCGGCTGTGGAAGCAAGACACAGAAGTTGATATTTTATACAAGTGAAAAGAGTAATTGTGGGTACTGCACCTGCAGGGGCGGGGCAGGCAGCGGCGGCGTCGATCTTGGACGTCAGCCAATTGGTCCCAAACAGAGCAGAGACCTTCACCACAGTCATGGGCACACCAGAGACCTGCGGGAAGACCCGAGAGAGAGACCAGAGAGAGGGAGAGACTGTTTGTCGGGATCACTTTAAATTGGACCAAAGAGACCTGAGAGAGAGCCCAGAGAGAGAGAGAGAGAGAGAGCCCACCTGCTCAGTGTAGGTCTCCGGCGTGTACAGGGGACTGCGGAGGACCAGCCGGCTGTGACTGAGGCCGAGACCATAACCTCTGCTCAGGACTGCGGGGACCTGCAGGGGGCGCTGGTCCTGCTCCGGAGTGTGGAAGAGCACAGAGAGGGAGTGGGGGTCCTGGAACTGCTGAGGGAGGGAGGGAGAGAGGGAGTGAGGGAGAGAGAAAGAGACAAACTATCAGTAATCACACAGCGCAGATGGGACAAAGTGAAGAGCTTCAGACCTCTGCTGCTCGTCTGGGATCTGAGGCGGCGCCCCCGTAGGTCGTCTGGGGAACTGCAGGACCAAGGAGAGTCCTCTTCACAGACACCTGGGACAGAGACCATTAGCACTGAATACAGATGCAAACCACCTGCTGGAGTTTAGCTAGAAACTGTAGCAACTCTTATGCATGTTCTTTTTCGATCAGTGTTCATCCAGCTCATTGTGTTGCAGCTCTAGTGACAAATTCTGTTGTCGGGATTATCTGTTTGAACATTTTAAAGCATAGCCTGTCTACAGATCATGCTAAATTGGTCTAAACTCAATGAAGCCCAACAGGGAAGTGCTCATGGATGAAGTTTTGCTCCTGTGGCTCCCTGTGATCCTGGTGTTCATGGCGATGTTATAGACCACACACCACGACCAGAACTGGCCTGTGTCGTCTCTAACTCGGACTCTCACCTCCATGAAGTCCGGATGGCAGATGATCTCCCTCGAGGCCCAGTCCTGGTACGAGCAGCTCTCTGAGACCGAGTAGACCTGGTTTGAGGAGCGACTCAGCTGCAGCTCCAGAGTGAACTCCTGATCCCTCTGAAACAAGACACAAACATGGGCTGCTCCATCGCTCTCTCGTCCCCCCACTCTCTCGTCCCCCCACTCTCTCGTCCCCCCACTCTCTTGTCTCTCTCACCTTGTTGATAGAGAAACAGTTGAGCAGTGAAGCGTAGATGTGCAGAGTTCCAGAGACGTCCATGTTGGAGCTGAAGCCGCACTGAAGGGCTAGAGTCCGGGTCAGGACCACGAGAGACCCATCTGCAAAGGGGGAGAGAGGGGGGGACAAGGGGGGGAGAGAGAGGACAGGGGAGAATTCATAGAAAACAGAATTGAAAATAAAAAAAGTTAATGACACTAAAATCCTCTAGTCCATGAGGTCATAGGCTGCAGTACCGCAGGTGGCCTCTAGTCTAAGTGGTTTATGCAGCAACACCATCTACCACTACTCACATAGTACTATCACATAGTAGTATATCTTTAACTGAACAGATGAAGAACTCACTGTGAAGAGCAGACACCTGCAGTCGGCCTCCAGTCACAGGACCAACGTCAAAACGAAACAGATTCCCCAAACACTCGCTCTGGACAACTGCAACAAAGGACTGTTACAGAGAGAGAGACAGAGACACACAGAGACAGACAGAGAGACACAGAGAGAGACAGAGAGACACACAGACACAGAGAGAGAGACAGAGACAGAGACACACAGAGAGAGAGAGACAGAGACACACAGAAGAGAAGGAGGATACCACAGGTCTCTCCAGTCTCTACCTCTCTCTTAAGTGACGACACAATTGGAAATGGTTTTCGGAAATTTGTTTTCAAAAGCTGTAATCCTCTTACAATCTGAATCATCAACATGTTTCGTCGCTGGCAGAACATTTGAAAGGATTTGCTTTTGTCAAAGATTTCAACTTTTCAAAGTAAAATAAGACGGGTACTCACTGACGGGTGGAGTGTACTGACCACAGACCAACAGGAGGAGGAGGAGCCACCTGCACAAACACACAAGCATGAGGGTCTCTCTCTCTGCTCTCTCTCTCCACTCATTGCTCACTCTCTGGTCGCTCTCTCTCTGGTCTCTCGCTCGCTCTCTCTCTCGCTCGCTCTCTCTCTCTGCTCCCTCGCTCTCTCTGCTCGCTCTCTCTGCTCGCTCTCTCTGCTCTCTCGCTCTCTCTCTGCTCGCTCTCTCTCTGCTCGCTCTCTCTCTGCTCGCTCTCTCTCTGCTCGCTCTCTCTCTGCTCGCTCTCTCTCTCTCTCTCCTCTCTCTGCTCTCTCTGCTCTCTCTGCTCTCTCTCTGCTCGCTCTCTCTGCTCGCTCTCTCTGCTCTCGCTCTCTCTGCTCGCTCTCTCTCTCTCGCTCTCTCTGCTCGCTCTCTCTCTCGCTCTCTCTCTCTCTCTCTCTCTCTCTCTCTCGCTCTCTCTCTGCTCGCTCTCTGCTCGCTCTCTCTGCTCGCTCTCTCTGCTCGCTCTCTCTGCTCGCTCGCTCTCTCTCTGCTCGCTCTCTCTCTCTCTCTCTCTCTCTGCTCGCTCTCTCTGCTCGCTCTCTCTCTGCTCGCTCTCTCTCTGCTCGCTCTCTCTCTGCTCGCTCTCTCTCTGTTCTCTCTCTGCTCTCTCTGCTCTCTCTCTCTGCTCGCTCTCTCTGCTCGCTCTCTCTGCTCGCTCTCTCTCTCCTCTCTCTCTCTCTCCTCTCTCTCTCTCTGCTCGCTCTCTCTGCTCGCTCTCTCTGCTCGCTCTCTCTGCTCGCTCTCTCTGCTCGCTCTCTCTCTCTCTGCTCTCTCTCTCTCTGCTCGCTCTCTCTGCTCGCTCTCTCTCTGCTCGCTCTCTCTCTGCTCGCTCTCTCTCTCTCCTCTCTCTCTCTCTGCTCGCTCTCTCTCTGCTCGCTCTCTCTCTCTCCTCTCTCTCTGTTCTCTCTCTGCTCTCTCTGCTCTCTCTCTCTGTTCTATCTCTGTTCTATCTCTGCTCTCTCTGCTCTCTCTGTTCTCTCTCTGCTCTCTCTCTCTGTTCTATCTCTGTTCTATCTCTGCTCTCTCTGCTCTCTCTGCTCTCTCTCTGCTCTCTGATACTGACCACAGCTGCAGTGTTGACCCCATCTCAGCAGATTCTCAGTGTGAGGATCCAGACCTGATGAAAGTCTGAGGTTTGAGCAGGTTGGTTCTGATGCAGCTGCAGCCACTCTCCCTGATGCAGAGGCTAAAGAAACACAGAGGACGCACCACCTGCTGAGCTGTGCGTCGGCCATCTTGGAACTTCTATCTGTTCCAAAAGGGTTTTTAATTAAGAATTGAAACAAATTAAACAAAAACACATGTCTTTGTCACTTCTTGTGGCTGCAAGGGTCTGTAAGTTTTGTGTTGTTTTTCCCGACAGAAAATGAGGTTTGAATTACAATTCCAACTTGTATTTTTATTCTTTATTGATTTCAAGTATGCACAAGACAGACACATAGTTATTCACATAAATATTCACAATTATTGTTTTTAAATAATTCCTCACATACAATACAAAACACATACAATACAAAACAAAACCAGAATCAATGCTCCTCAGAGTCCCAGCAGGAGGCCAGTCCCTGGGCTCCTCAGAGTCCCAGCTTTAAAGTCTATTCTCTGAGCTGAAGGAAGCCAGCGCAGAGACCTGAGAACTGGACTAATGTGATGGTACTTCCTGGTCCTGGTCTGACTCGAGCTGCAGCATAAACACCAGGATCACAGAGAGATTCATACCATGGATTTATTTAAGCCCAAACTGTGACTGAGCCCCACCCCTCAGGCTTCACTCTGGGTCCACACACACCTCCTCCTCTGGCCCCTCCCCTCTCTCCTCTCCCGCTCTCTCTTCTCTCTCTCCCTCCCCTCTCTACTCTCTCTCTCCCTCTGCTCCTGTCCCACCTCAGAGTGGAACCTTCCCCTCTCTGCTGCGGGACGGTCACTTCTCCTCCAGAATGTAAAATCTACTGCGCTTCATGGACACTAGTCTTCCAGATCAGGTACAGTGTGTGTGTGTGTGTGTGTGTGAGAGAGAGAAAAACTCCACAGTGTGTGTGTGTGAGAGAGGGACACAGGAGAGAGAAAGAGAGAGAGACAGCAGAGAAAGAGAGAGAGAGAGAGACCAATTTGTATGTGTGAGAGAGAGACCGGAGTGTGTGTGGTGCATGATCCTGTCTCTTCACTGTTATTGACCTTTACTTAACAAGGAAAGCCCCATCATCAGGGAACCTATTGTACATGTTTTTAGTGGTAGTGGATACTGGAGCACCTGGAGGAAACCTGCACAGACTCAGGGAGATATGAAAACTCAACAGAAGTCTGTAGATCCAGGACTGAGGCTGTTACTGTTGCAACAACACATCAGTAGGGAAAAACTAAACTGTCTCATGACCCAGCTCACGTTCTCTATTAGTGGGTGAACAATCCAACGCTGGGTGAATTCTGCTTCACAATAATAGGACTGAGACTGTAGATCCAGGACTGAGACTGTAGATCCAGGACTGAGACTGTAGATCCAGGACTGAGACTGTAGATCCAGGACTGAGGCTGTAGACCCGGGACTGAGGTTGTAGACCCAGGACCAAGGCTGTAGATCCAGGACTGATGCTGTAGATCCAGGACTGAGGCTGTAGATCCAGGACTGATGCTGTAGATCCAGGACTGAGGCTGTAGATCCAGGACTGAGGCTGTAGATCCAGGACTGATGCTGTAGACCCAGGACCAAGGCTGTAGATCCAGGACTGAGGCTGTAGATCCAGGACTGATGCTGTAGACCCAGGACTGAGGCTGTAGATCCAGGACTGAGGCTGTGTGTGGTGGAGTTCATTAAACACTCTGAACAGTGAGGAATGCACCTCAGTTTGGGACGCGTCCCTTTGGGCTGTGACTAACACTCCTCTGTTTCCTGAGCTCTAGTATTGATTTTTCATTTCCCTTCAGAGACTTCACTAATGCAACAGCAACATAACTGTAGAGCTGGAGCTGCACTGTTAGGACTGCTCTCTCCATAGAGAGACCAGAGAGAGAGACCAGAGAGAGAGACACGAGAGAGAGAGACCAGAGAGAGAGAGAAGAGAGAGAAACCAAAGAGAGAAACCAGAGAGAGAGAGAATAGATAGAGAGACCAGAGAGAGAGAGAAGAGAGAGAAACCAAAGAGAGAAACCAGAGAGGGACCAGATAAAGAGAAAAAAGATAGAAATACCAGAGAGCGAGAGAGAGAGAGAGACCAGAAGGAGAGTCTTCAGAGCTCATCACCATTTCAATGCATTTGTGTATATCCCAGTGTGGGCGGGTCCCGGCTCAAAAGTGACCAAAATGACGTGCACTGACATGCTGCAATACCACCCCGGGCCTGTGGGGGTGGACCCGGAATGAGAATTATTCAATGCTAACATATAGCATCTTCTGACCTCTGGAAAACGTCTTTACAGGATGGTCCAAAGTTGGCTCTTGGCCCAAAGCTCCGGTCCACATGTGTGTCAACGCTGAGGGGGTGTTTTGGACCAGTCTAGTTTAGTCGCTGTGAATTTTTTAAGTCACTTGCTTAAATGAATGTGGCTCGTGCAGCTGACGCATGCGCAGATGTGGTTTTTTTCACATTTTCCAGCGCCTGTGGCCATTTTGAAACTGCCCATAGACCGCGAAAGTTGTGGCACATTAGTTAGAACGGCGGAGATGGGTGTGATTACGTCCGGTAATATTTACAGTCAATGGTATATCCTTACATCACATCATCAGTCGTCTCAGATGACTTTACAAAGTTGTCGATTCACCGACAATAGATCAGAGAATCAAACAGTTCAAACACAACATGGCACAAGGGTTCTCACTCAGTCATGTGACTGCTGCTCCCAGAGTGCAGCTCCGAGCCGACAGATCCCTGCACAGTTTGGTGTGGCTACAGAGCACACACACACACACACAAACACACACACACATATACACACACTTACTGCCATCAGCCTAATGGAGCAACAAGAGGAAGTGTGGATCCACTCTGAAAGAACCAGCTTTATAGAGACGAGAAACTTTTCTTACAGAAAACTGTGGCTCTAGCGAGCCAAGAGTGTGTGAGTGTGTGTGTGTGTGTGTGTGTGTGTGTGGTTTGGGGTGGGTCTGACGGGTCATGGTCATGTGGGATTGTTTTTAAACAAACTGTAAAGCACTTTGAAAAGCGTTTTATAAATAAAATGTGACTGATTGATAGTTAAGGGGACTCTCTCTCTCTGGTCTCTCTCTGGTCTCTCTCTGGTCTCTCTCTGGTCTCTCTCTGGTCTCTCTCTGGTCTCTCTCTGGTCTCTCTCTCTGGTCTCTCTCTGGTCCCTCTCTGGTCTCTCTCTGGCCTCTCTCTGGTCTCTCTCTGGTCTCTCTCTAGGCTCACTCTGGTCGCTCTCTGTTCTCTCTCTGGCCTCTCTCTGGTCTCTCTCTGGTCTCTCTCTAGGCTCACTCTGGTCGCTCTCTGTTCTCTCTCTGGTCTCTCTCTCTCTCTCTCACAGGTGGGACTCCAGGTTCCATGTGCAGCTGATTGTGACAGGATTTTATTGGATTTTCTGCAACTCTAAAAACGTGACCTTTCCTTGTTTCCCGCGGCGACAGTCGTGTTGTTTGTGCAGAAGCAAAAACAAGTTATTAACTCAGAATAATGTGAAACTGAAACATGTGTTCACTGGGGCCTGGTTTATGACAGGAACGATGTGTTCTAAAATTAACACACACACGCACGCACACACACACACACACACACACACACACACACACACACACACACACACACAGAGAGAGAGAGACAAGAGAGAGAGAGACCAGACAGAGACCAGAGAGAGACCAGAAAGAGACAAGAAAGAAATCAGAGAGAGACCAGAGATTGAGAGATGAGAGAGACCAGAGATGAAGAGATGAGAGAGACCAGAGAGAGACCAGAGAGAGACCAAGGCCCTCTGCAATGGTTCATTTATTGTCACAAAGTTTACTATAAAGTGACCTTGTGATCCCGTAGGACCATGGGGTACGGGCAGGTCCTCCCTCACGCCGCCTCCGAGGGCCTGGTGCGTCTGAACGTGGGGGGGGTGCGTCATGCTGTGGACCCCCAGACCCTCCTCAGGTTCCCTCACACTCGTCTGGGGCGTCTGCTGCGGTGCCAGAGCGAGGCCGCGGTGCTGGAGCTCTGTGACGACTACAGCGACCCCGAGAGAGAGTTCTACTTTGACCGGAACCCGCAGGTTTTCCTTTGCGTCCTGAATTTCTACCGCACTGGTCACATCCACACCATGGAGGAGCTCTGCGTCTTCTCCTTCAGCCAAGAGATCGAGTACTGGGGCATCTGCGAGTTCAGCATCGGCAACTGCTGCAGCAACTGGTAACTACTGCTGCTGGTACTGCTGCTACTAATGCTACTGCTACTGTTACTGCTACTACTACTACTACTGCTACTGGCAACTGCTGCTACTAATGCTACTGCTGCTACTACTGCTACTGTTACTGCTACTACTACTACTACTACTACTGGCTACTGCTGCTACTACTGCTAATACTGCTACTACTGGCTACTGCTGCTATTACTACTACTGCTACTAGTATCTACTGCTACTGTTACTGCTACTACTAATACTAATACTACTGCTACTGCTGCTACTACTGCTACTGCTAAAATCAGTGGAAACAGAAGTATCTGAGCTCAGGGTTGAGTATGAATACTTTTGCAGTTATGACCACAAACAACATTTTAAACGTAATCATTATAAAGTATTTTGCGATTAGACTGAGAAATAAGCATTGATGACTTTTGCAATAAGGCTGTGATGTCACACACACATTGATAAATAGCCGCGTACTTCTTGCCAAAGTTCTTGAAAAAAGCAAAAAGACTGTGAGAAATGTGAGAAAAGCAGAAATTGATGTCTGTATCTGAGGAGAGGGAGGGGCGGTCGATACGAAGCGGCGTTCTGGAGCTGGACTCTTCTGTCTCAGCTTCATCCGCTGCTGGTGTTCGGTTCAATCACATTTGAATATTTATGAGCTTTTCATCTGGCGTTTGTGACCCCAGATAAACCTGCCTCCTGCATGCTGCACGATGCGACAGGATCATGGCCTGGATACAGACAGGACGATGCTAACCTGCTAGCTGAATGGAGCTCGATAGGGAAGTGCTCAGAGACAGTGTTGATACGTGTTGTACAGAGAGTGGTTCTCCGCCTGTACTTTATACTTTGCTCCATCTCTCTTTGGTTCCTGTTGACTTAAACGTAGAAATAAACTTCTCTCGCTCAGTAACGTATGTGTTACAGTCCAGCCTGCTCTAGCTGGAGGTCGCCGGAGAAGTGCTCCCATGTTCGGTAGTGGTAATGCGCCCTCGTCCCGGTTCATAGTTTTACAGCCCAGAAAACGTACAGGTTTGAAGGTTTGACCAAGTGGTTCACATGTCAAGGTAATAACATCACTATCTTACAATTGTCTGATATAGAAGAAAAAAATAATTATTATAATAATTATCAAAACAAATAATAACAAACAAGTAAATATATAAAGTGTATTATGTCACTTTATGTTTAAGGCTTAGAAGGTTCTTTTGATAAGACTAAACTACAAAGAGGCTTGTTCTGCTTATTTACCTGTTTTGGAGGTAGACTGGGTGTGTGATCTGCTGCTGTGACTAGATGCGATCAGACCAACAAAAAGATGGATGCGAGAGTCGATTGAAATCAGGAAGCGACACATGCACCATCAACAGAGACGAGGGGGCCTTCACCTTGGCTCACACCTGGATCTCACTTATCCCAAAGACAAAGGCGGAAGTCTGAACATGAAATAATGAAGTAGAATTATCTTCTTTACACGTTTGTCTCATTATTAAAACCTTTTAAACATCAAACACTGCTCTGTCTAAAACATGTAAGAATGACCTCTCATTGCTGAAGCTTTGATTAAAAGTACCTGAGTGTGTCTCTCTCTGCCCCACCCTCAGGTACCATGAGAGGAAGGAGAACCAGGAGGACCGACACTGGGACTGCTACAGTGACGACCAGGCCCCGCCCAGCTTCGACTCTTCTATGGAGGAGCTTTCTGCGCTGGACGAGGACCTGGTCAAGTTCAAGGGCGCCTGGTGCAGCGAGCTCCGCAGCTACATCTGGCTGCGTCTGGAAGACCCCACCCACTCCCGCTCCTCCAAGATCCTCGCCGTGGTCTCCCTGAGCGTGGTCCTCACCTCCATCGTGGCCATGTGCGTCCACAGCATGCCCGACTACCAACAGCACGACAAGAACGACAAACCCATCGAAGACCCCGTGCTGACGCTGCTCGAGGGCATCTGCATCGCGTTCTTCTCCGTGGAGTTTGTGGTTCGCCTCGTGGTTGCGCCGTCTCTGTGCAGGTTCCTCGCCAAACCCCTGAACATCATCGACGTGGCCTCCATCCTGCCCTTCTACGCCACGCTCGCCCTGGAGACCGCCGATGAGGAGAACGAGGACCTCCAGAACGTGGGGAAAGTAGTCCAGGTTCTTCGGCTGATGAGGGTCCTGCGCATCCTCAAGCTAGCGAGGCACTCGGTCGGGCTTCGAGCTCTGGGCGCCACCATCCGCCACAGCTTCGAGGAGGTGGGTCTGCTCCTGCTGTTCCTCTCGGTGGGGATCTCCATCTTCTCCGCGCTCATCTACTTCGCGGAGAAAGAGGACCAGGACACAGACTTGGGGACCATCCCTTCAGGCTGGTGGTGGGCCACGATCACCATGACCACTGTTGGATACGGAGATACCTGCCCAGTGACGGTCGCAGGGAAAATAATTGCAACTTTATGCATTATCTGTGGCTTGCTAGTCTTGGCTTTACCCATCTCCATCATATTCAACAAGTTTTCAAAGTACTATCAAAGGAGCAAAGCCATGGAGAGCCAGGGCATCGAGAAACCGGAGAGGAAGGACCCTGAGCTCCCGTACTATAGCATCCGAGACCTGTTCAGTGAGAACTTGTACCCCTTTCTTGGGGGCCTCGCCTACAGAGGCAGTGTGAGCAGCAAAGGAGACACAGATGCCTCCAGTCTGAAGGACATGGAGATGAGTGAGAAGGACATGGAGATGAGTGAGAAGGACATGGAGATGAGTGAGAAGGACATGGAGATGAGTGAGAAGGACATGGAGATGAGTGAGAAGGACATGGAGATGAGTGAGAAGGACATGGAGATGAGAGAGAAGGACATGGAGATGAGTGAGAAGGACATGGAGATGAGTGAGAAGGACATGGAGATGAGTGAGAAGGACATGGAGATGAGTGAGAAGGACATGGAGATGAGAGAGAAGGACTTCTGGGAGAAAGGGCCCAGAGGATTGTGAAGCTGTGACAAAAAAAAGCGTAGCTCAAGGTTTGGCGAGCAAGGTTTGGTTTGAGTGGTCGACCAGGAGAAGGCAACTCTCTGTATTCAGTTGGTTTGCAATACTTAAATGACCATCACCGGTTTGACTGAAGGTTGTAAATCCTAAAGACTGTTTTGTTCTTAAAGCTGGGAGAACTTTCTAACATAAAATTAATCTAAAGAGAGACGAGGAGTGAGGGATCCTTCTAACTATCGCATGGAAAAGATCAAAATGTCAACATCATATGGAATTTAAAGCCATCTCTATGTGTTTTTGTTTCACGTTTCTGATCACATAGTTCTAGGGCTGCAAGATTAACGGCAATTGATTCAAATGTTCAGACAGAAGAGGTTGATTTTCCTTATATGGGCATTTGTTAAGATGGCGTTTGCTTTGGACCATAATATGGGCAGAATGTTGAAAAAACAGGGTTGCTAAGGCAAACTGGAGTTTCCCCAAAAAGAAGACATTTGATTGGCTCATAGCTGGATTTACAATATCACAATATAAACACTAAAGAGCTCGAAGCTATTAGACTGAGGTTCTGAGTCTGTAGATCCAGGACTGAGACTGTAGACCCAGGACTGAGGCTGTAGATCAAGGACTGAGGCTGTAGATCCAGGACTGAGGCTGTAGATCAAGGACTGAGGCTGTAGACCCAGGACTGAGGCTGTAGATCAAGGACTGAGGCTGTAGATCCAGGACTGAGACTGTAGAACCAGGACTGAGGCTGTAGATCCAGGACTGAGACTGTAGAACCAGGACTGAGGCTGTAGACCCAGGACTGAGACTGTAGATCAAGGACTGAGGCTGTAGACCCAGGACTGAGACTGTAGATCCAGGACTGAGACTGTAGATCCAGGACTGAGACTGTAGATCCAGGACTGAGACTGTAGACCCAGGACTGCAGCCCACAAGTCTGGGTCTAATGTAATCATTTACATTTCCAGGTTGATTGTTATTGCAGTAAATGGTGGGGAAATAAAACAGTAAAGTGCAGAGGGCTCCACGGAACAAAGTTTGTATAAAAACTTTCCATTGAATGTTTTGCCAGAATCGTGCAACTCCACCACTCGCTACAGACGCCGAGAAAAAAACATGAAATATGCAAAAAACTTTATATTTTGAAAGAAGTGGAAAATAAAGACAGACTGTGTTCTGTGCAGATGTGTTTGTGTTTTCTCTCTCTGATATCTCTTTCTGGTCTCTTTCTCTGGTCCCTCTCTCTATCTCTCTGGCTTGTATCTCTGGTCTTTCTTTGGTCTCTCTCTGGTCTCTCTCGCTCTCCCTCTGGTCTCTCTCTCTTCCTCTCCCCCTCCCTCTCTCTCAGGGGTGAGGGTGAGGCCCAGAGAGATGCCATGTGCTGATGTCTGGGTGAGGCCTAATGTTTCAGACTAATGTGTTTATCGATCTCTCGCTGGCGGAGGCGGCGGGTCGTGGACGGCGTGGAGAGTGAGGGATCGTTCACCCGGCGATATGTGACGGATGACATCGTCCGAACTGGAGCAAGCGAGGATCCAGGACATCGATCTGAAAGTTACTCCAGAAGGAAGAATGAAGACTATTATCACTGTATCCTATTCTGTGTTCAATTTTGTTGATTCGCCAACAACAGATCAGAAACCAGTGAAAGAGAGACCAGAGAGAGACCAGGGAGAGACCAGGGAGAGACCAGGGAGAGACCAGGGAGAGACCAGGGAGAGACCAGGGAGAGACCAGGGAGAGACCAGAGACAAAGACCAGAGAAAAAGAATATAGAGATACCAGAGAGAAACCAGAGAGAGACTAGAGAAAGAACAGAGAGAGAGAACAGAGGGATCAGAGAGAAAAAACCCTGTGCCAGTCCCTGTGCTCTCCAGGGTCCCTGTGGGTCATTTGGATTTCCAGTATTACCCATAGATTTCTGACCTGTTTATTGGGTTGTAGTGAGAGAGACTGGGACCAAAGACGATTATTTTGGTTAAGTCTGAGTTTTGCTAACACCAACACACGGAGGTCTGTGCAAATGGAGTTAATTTCTCTGGGACGTAGCAGAGGAAGAACGCTCGCCTGAGTCAATACTTTATGGATTTTCCTTTCTCTACAATCACTGCTCTCTCTGAGTGTGTTTCTCTAAGCCTTCTAGACACTTGTTTCATATCATTAGTATTCATAAAGCAGCCCGAGGCCCGTCGCATTAGTTGGAGAGAGTTGACATCGACCAGGCCAATTTTAACATAGCACTATACTATAGTAGTGGGGTTGTATTTCTTTAATTGGGAGCCAAACTTTGTCCTTGAGCATTTCCCTGTTGGGTTGTATTGAGCTAGCGGGTTAGCATCATCCATCTGGCTCCAGCCCTTTTCACTGATAACAAATAGAATCAAAGTGAGCACACTACGCCTCATCGACTGCTGTTACACAGAATGGAATTCAATAGGCGCCTGAGGAGACGCAAACTAAACTGATGACTTTAGAATCACACTGTTGTGTTAGCGTTAGCGTTAGCATGCACCGCAAGGTCCTTCACATTAGTTAGAGAGAGTAGACCTGCATGACCGGGCCATTTCTAACATAGTATTATAATAGTGTTGTATTTTTCAGTTACCCTGGGTCTCTGGTCTTCATCTCTGAACAGTGTTGTTCTGGTTTGGCCGACGGCTGTGTGTTGGTAGATTTGCAGTGGTGCATTGAGCATGGTAGATCCAGGACTGAGGCTGTAGATCCAGGACTGAGGCTGTAGATCCAGGACTGAGGCTGTAGATCCAGGACTGAGGCTGTAGACCCAGAATCATCTGCCACTTTCTGTTGCTCTTCAACAAAACATTTTTTTTTTACTCGAGTTGTAAACGTGGGAAATGAAGTATTGATGATTAAATTTGTGAGTCTCCTCTTCACCAATGACTCAGGACCAGAGTGAGTCCGTCCTCACAGAGAGGACAGTTCTGCTGCGTCGACGTAAAGGACACAGACCTCGGAACCTGCCAGAAGAATCGCTGAGGCCGGATTTTATACTATTGATTTTGTGTCCAGGAGAATCCTCTGGCCTCACGCCGACAGCATCTCCTCAGTCTCTCTCTCCTCAGATCTCTCTCCTCAGTCTCTCTCTCCTCAGATCTCTCTCCTCAGTCTCTCTCTCCTCAGATCTCTCTCCTCAGTCTCTCTCTCCTCAGATCTTTCTCCTCTGGTCTCTCTCTCTTCAGGTCTCTCTCTCCTCAGATCTTTCTCCTCTGGTCTCTCTCTCTTCAGGTCTCTCTCTCCTCAGATCTTTCTCTTCTGGTCTCTCTCTCTTCAGGGCTCTCTCTCCTCAGATCTTTCTCTTCTGGTCTCTCTCTCTTCAGGGCTCTCTCTCCTCAGATCTTTCTCTTCTAGTCTCTCTCTCTTCAGGTCTCTCTCCTGAGTCTTTGTCTCCTCTGGTCTCTCACTCCTCAGATCTTTCTCTTGGTCTCTTCAGAGACTGAGAAGAGAGACCCAATGCACTATAGTGGATTAAAGCTATAATAGGAACTAGAGCAAGTTGGAGCCAAACTTTGTCCATGAGCACTTCCCTATTAAGCTGTATTGAGCTAGCGAGTTAGCATCATCCATCTGGCTCCAGCTCCTCGTCCTCAGATTCATTTCTTTGATAACAAATAGAATCACAGTGAGCACACTACGCCTCATCGACTGTTACACAGAGTGGATTTCAACAGGCGCCAGAAGCAAACTAAACTGTTGACTTTAGAACCACACTGTTGTGTTAGCGTTAGCATGCGCACATACTCTACTCTACTCTACTCTACTCTACTCTACTCTACTCTACTCTACTCTACTCTACTCTACTCTACTCTACTCTACTTTACTCTACTCTACTCTACTCTACTTTACTCTACCTTACCCTACCCTACCCTTCCCTCCCCTCCCCAACCCTACCCTACCCTACCCTACTCTACTCTACTCTACTCTACCCTACCCTACTCTACTCTACCCTACCCTACCCTACCCTACCCTACCCTACCCTACCCTACCCTACTCTACTCTACTCTACTCTACTCTACCCTACCCTACCCTACCCTACTCTACTCTACTCTACTCTACTCTACCCTACCCTACCCTACCCTACTCTACTCTACCCTACCTTACCCTACTCTACTCTACTCTACCCTACCCTACTCTACTCTACCCTACCCTACCCTACTCTACTCTACCCTACCTTACCCTACTCTACTCTACCCTACCCTACTCTACTCTACCCTACCCTACCCTACTCTACTCTACTCTACTCTACTCTACTCTACTCTACTCTACCCTACCCTACCCTACTCTACTCTACCCTACCCTACCCTACCCTACTCTACTCTACCCTACCTTACCCTACTCTACTCTACTCTACCCTACCCTACTCTACTCTACCCTACCCTACCCTACTCTACTCTACCCTACCTTACCCTACTCTACTCTACCCTACCCTACTCTACTCTACTCTACTCTACTCTACCCTACTCTACTCTACTCTACTCTACTCTACTCTACTCTACTCTACCCTACCCTACCCTACTCTACTCTACCCTACCCTACCTACCTACTCTACTCTACTCTACCCTACTTTACTCTACTCTACTCTACTCTACTCTACTCTACTCTACCCTACCCTACCCTACTCTACTCTACCCTACCCTACTCTACTCTACTCTACCCTACCCTACCCTACCCTACTCTACTCTACTCTACCCTACTCTACTCTACTCTACTCTACTCTACTCTACTCTACTCTACCCTACCCTACCCTACTCTACTCTACCCTACCCTACCCTACTCTACTCTACCCTACCCTACTCTACTCTACCCTACCCTACCCTACTCTACTCTACTCTACTCTACCTTACCCTACTCTACTCTACTCTACCCTACCCTACTCTACTCTACTCTACCCTACCCTACCCTACTCTACTCTACCCTACCCTACTCTACTCTACTCTACCCTACCCTACCCTACTCTACTCAATCCTATTCTATCCTTC